ATAAGGCTAAGCAGTGAAGGTTTAAAACCGAACTTGGCCCATCACTTTGGTGCAAGTGATAGTGTTCTTATTTCAGAGGGAATTGCACGCGGGCTACATCACGAACTCAGCCTCTTCCTTAGAGAGCCTTTCATCCCTTCATCCCCCGATGCAGAACTGCCCGAGGCCCTCTGCCATGAACTGCTCGGCTCTTTTGAAGCTACGCGCGCAGCTCATAACTCTTCCACCTGGCCAGCGACGGACCCTCAAATTCTGAGCGACGGTTCTGCGACTACGACGGAGTCGTTTGGGGTAAAAATTCATTTGACTCTTTGTCGGTGACGACACTTTGGAATTTGGCCCAGTTTGCCACTAGTTTCATGAACGTTCAGATTCCAAAACAACCATCCAACAGGTTTGGCCCAGGTCCATCAAGCCATGTCGAAATCCCTTCGTCGACTAAAACTGATCGAATCAGACTCAGTCTACCTTTCGAAGAGGATGGTGAATCAGGCTCCCCTGCAAATCTTGAATAGGAATCCTCATTGCAGGTCAATCAAACTAACTGCTGTTCTGTCAATGGCCAAATCTGGAACCTCGCAATTAGCTGAGGAAAAATGAAGATCCACTGGATCTTCAATGGCAATGATCACATCCTGCCCTACAAGTAGCCAGTCGCGTACCATCCCTTTCTTTCTTCCCAGTCACTGCAAAATCTTTTCTGGTGGGTGCAATCCTTGTGGTGTTCTTCTCCCGCAATCTCCTTTCTGGTTCGTCATTCTCTTCTTCATTCTTCCCACAAACTGCTTGCTGGTCCCGAAATCTTGCAGTCCACTCTAGACTCTACACGTCCCTGAAGCTTCATCATGGGCCAACGTGGATGACATGGGCCCCACAAGGATTACCATTTCCACAAACAGGTGGTTTTCACTCCACATAGCCATGACTATTTCAAGGAGTGTAGATAAGTTAGATACATTATGATAGAGTAGCTTGGCCTGAACATGAAGTCTTGCCTTCCATCACCACCAACTCTCACAGGATTCTCCCCACTGCCAGAGAACAAATCGCATCACCGGAGGATCCAAGGAGCCTGGTGGAGGCTGCGGAGGAAGCGCGCGACCGAGTGGTGCTGGTAGAACTCGGCGTGATCCGCCTCGTATTTTTTTGCGGAGAACGACTCGCCCGCGAGGTGAGCGAAGCACGAAACGGTGGGGAAGGTTGGCGGGTGCTAAAGGGGGGTTGGAAAGTGGAAGAAACCTATGTCACTCTGCTTGGGGTCAATGTTTTGGAGCTGATCCCTCTCACTATGACTCAACAAATGAAATATTGCAGTATGGATCCCCTTGCGGCCTACAAAACGCCTCTGTTGAAGTGGGTCAACTCCAATCGCAATGAGACAAATACCATCAAATACCTCCATCTGCTTCCCTTAGATCTGTCTGGCATCTTTTGCTACAACATGACTGGCGAAAAGGCCACTATCCTTCCTGGCTCCTACGGCAACACTGCGTAAACCATGCGTGCGTCATCTGTCGTGATCCATCGTGATGCTGCACTGCTGCTTTTTGCCACCGACCCAGGCATGGGGCGTTCCAAATGTGAACCCAATGGTACCGGATGGATCCACAAGAACAGTAAAAACATGTAAAAACCATCCCCAGCCTTTCAAAGTTGTTTTTCTCGAGTTTCTGTGCATTTTGTTTACCTCAGTAAAGCTACATCGCCAATCATCGCCATTCGTTCAAGTCCACACTGACCACCTCTCAACTCTTTTTGAATGCCCCAAACATCCGCCAAGCGACCAAGCGCCGCCCCTGCGGGTCCACGTGCGCCAGATCGGCGCGATGCGTCAGCAGGCGCCGCAGCACCGGCAGGTGTCCCTTGGAGGCCGCGTGCAGCGCAGCCGGGTCGTAGCCTTCGGAGGCAGCGCAGCAGGCGGGGAGTGGCGTTCACGGGATTTGCAAGAATTCACTCAGTGTAAAGCTTGTGGTGCAATCAAGAGGTACCCAGGTACCCCAGGTACCAGTTATATGTTTTAACATGTTTTAAAGGCTTTCGTAGAGCAGAATGCAAATCCCATTCCTTGGACACGCAACGTGGATGATAAAATTCGGGTGCAGACCTGACATCTCAAACATCGTGAGAATCTTTACGTTGCAGGTAATTGGACACACTCATGGGACTGCCTTCATGGCAAAGATGTGGTTGTGGGTCGTTGACCCCAGGAGACTGAAAAAGGATACAAACCTACTTGGCGTCGGTCGTTCGCTAGATGGTGGATGTTGGGGCTACAGGTTTTTCACTTGGTTGAACGACCTATTTCCCGTATTTCCAAGACCTGGGGCCAGAGGTAGAACTCGCCTATCCGTGGAGCGTAGGCTATAGCTGAATCTTGGGGCTGCCTGGGTCGTTTCGGCTTCTGTCAACACCTGGAAGCTGCTGGGATTTGGCATCTCCTTTGGCTCTGGGGATTTCTACTGGGCCAATGTTCACTTCAACCCGTTTCTATTGGGGATTCTTGGACCTTGAAGAACCTGTCAGAGTTGAAGAGATGATCCAGCAAGCTCCACATTACAATCTTCCCTTTGCACAGTAAGTTATATCCCGTCAGACGTTGGAAGTGATGGGGAACATGGCATGAACTGTCCGAGGTGTGTCAGTTGTCTCCATCTGTCCATTGTCATCCAAATCACATCATATCATCCATCACCATCAGGAGGCGGAAGTGGGAAGTGGAGGCTCGATGGCACCAATCAACACCAACCAATGTCCATTCTTGTAGCCTTTTTCGACCAAGAACCCGTAAAGACCTGCATGCACCCAGGACATCCAGACCAAACGAACACGAGCTTCAACCTGCATTTCAACCTGGTGGGCAGCTATCACGTCCGCGTCACGGGGTTGCAACAAAATTCGATTAACAACCGGGGTTTCGGCCATGTTTCATTGCAAAACAACCTCTTTGACATGTCGCCAACAGGGCAAGGAATGCCTACTTTTGTTGATTTTTTTGACACTTTTGAGACTTGGGCTCTTTTCCAATTCCCTATAGAGGTATGACCTACTACACAGCTGCAATCAGCTGCAAGAAGGCTGCAAGTCTCAACACGTCACATCTGGCGGGCCTCGCGCGGACGTTGGCGCGTGGCGTTTCAGCAGCATGTCCATCCTCAGATCTTCCGCCCCATGCAGTGCTGAGGTCCGAAAACACCACTTGGATGGCGCCAGCAGCTAAGGAATTCCAGGCGAGTTGCGACAAACATCTGGTCGATAGAACCTATAGTAGGGATACCTGATTATATCCTGATTATGTTTAGGCGGTTGGAAGAACAGCATCAATTTGTTGGCTTCAATCCGATCTATTTTTGTGTAGAGGTGCTAGGTGACTGGGGAGAGGATTGACTCCAAAGAACCTAGATGCTCCATTACTATGTATGGATGAGAACTGCGTTCTGCTGGAGTCTTTGCCCTTGTTTCGCTGAAAGAGGCTGGTTGAGATGGTGATAGGCAAATAACATCCAATAACCCATATATATATATATATAGAATGTGGGTTGAGAAACGGTTGAGATATCTCCTATTCGGTGCTATTCTTTTCGCCAACTCAAGTTACTCATCAAGTTATATACTCCCAGCCCATCCCATGGTCCATCGCAGCCCAGTGGTACATCCGAAGAACCGGCATGATCCCATAAACATCCATGAACATCCAGAGAGGATGTAGCCACCCTCACAGTCCCCATGAGGTCACCATCCAACGAGGTCAGCCACTCCCAGAGAGGATGTAGCCATGCGTCAAGTCCGGATAGCCCCCGTCTGCCGCACTGGCGAAGGGTGCTAAGGACCGCTGGTCCTGGGAGCGCAGGGAGGCACCATGCTCCAACCTGAGTGGTGCGGTGGCTGCGGGGGCGCCATGGTCAAGCAGGATATGAACATGGCAGGCCAAGTGGAGTTGTGAAGATCAGGTGAAACACCTCCCAAACATGGCTTGGACAATCTAAAGGAGAAACTATGAGAAACTCCTGTCAGTTCTCGACCTGAATATAGGGACCCATCCATCTTTTGAATGCTTAGGGGACCAACAACTCAATGCCCAGGTGGTCAGCGCAAAACTCTTCTGATCGTTATTGCTGGAACTTGAGAAAACTCACTGATTGCAGGTCATGAGATCTACAGTAGGGTCTCTGTCAAACCAGATATATCATGATATATCTATATAGTTTATATATATATAATAGTTATAGTATAGTTATAATTAGTTATATATAGTTATAATTAGTTATATATACAAATTTGTCGATCAGGGATCCACCACATTCCTGTCTAGGTCCATCGAAATCCTTTCACCACCTGTCTCGTCCACCTACTTAGCTTACTGATTCCTTCATTGCCCAGCGGATCGACGTGAGGATGATCGAACCCCCAACGACTTCGGCCCGGCAGAGCGATCGACTTCGCGTCGATCCTAGGAGCAAGAGCTGGGCGACTTCGCCGGCGTCGTTGTAGGCCGCGTGGTGCAACGGCTCTTTGGCTTCTTGGTCTTTCCTTGGTGACCACGGTGGTCGAATGTTGAAACAACCTCTCAGTGCAGGGGCTCCCAAAAGCTCGGTTTCCTGTACTCCATCTGGCTTCCGCCTGGCTTCCTATCGACATCCGAGAAAACTGCCTGGTAGAGCAAGTGCCTTAGACACCAACTAGTCTGCAAGGTCAACAGCCATTGTCCATGCTCAGGAGACTCAACAGTTCCTCATTGAGGTGTTTAGCAGTTTGCTAGTATTGCTGCTTCAAGAGAACTATTGCACTATTGTCTATTCATGTCTATTCATGCCTGATACTGCAGGGACGACGTATTTTTCGCCGACGGGGTCCTCAATTGACTCGAATTAGATCCAGCTCCTTCGGAGGGATGTCGTACAAATGTCCAGCAACTCTTTCTTGTTCAGGGCACAGAATCCTTCTCTGCGCAGTGAGTGCTGAATGGTAATAAAACTAAACAACAATATATAGAGAGGTTACTACTATAGAGGACCATATGCTGGGGATACCTCGCGCGAGATTTCGCGCGATGTACACTTCAAAACATGGCTCCTCTCAGGCACGTCACCTGCAGCCTCTGCGGGTTCATCTTTTGGGCACTCATCCAAGGCCTCATTTCCTCCCTCGCAGTCGCACAAATTGTTGGACGGCTGGATCTCGCTGAGCAGGCTGCAGAATTCTTCAGCCGTGGCAGGCGATGCGGAGACACCGTAGTGACGCAAGCGAGCGAGGGTGGTTAGAAGAGCTATTGTTGAGCTCACGAGAGCATACAGAACGTATTGGTTCCAGACACCAAGGACACTCACAAATGAAGAGAACAGAAACTCAGGAAGGTCTTGTACAAATGCAAACATGAATTCCATGTTGGCAAAGCGCCGGCTGTCACGTCGAGTTTTGAACAATGCCCGGACCTCAGCAAGTTCCAGCAGAATCAATCCAACACACACAAGGAAACCTGTGAAGGGAGTCATGACACTGGTTGCTGGCCCGTCGAGCTGCGACCTTGCCAATCCCATCAATGTATAGAGGTTTGGCAGTTCAGCTAGAAGGATGGCATCCGCTGTGGTGATCATAGGTATCCATGTAGAAACTGGTTCCTGAAGGTCAGGAGGCTCCACCAAGGCCGTGAACAGCCCTTTCAAAGAATAGGTAGTCTTGGCCACCTGAAACAAGTGATCAAGCTGGCAGCTGGCAGGGAACAAGTTCCTTTAATAAGCCCCCGGTGGACTGCAAGGGGGGGCCCTCACACTGGAAATAATTTCTGAGTGGGAACTTTTATACAATGTGGCTAACCCCTCAACATCACGCCAAGCAAATGCAGGACAGCGTGCAATGACCTTTAAAGTAAATCTAACCCCCTACCTCCCCCCCTCAAAAACAATTTTTTTAAGAGTGACCTTTTTTTACTGTCCCCTAACCCCCACCCTCCCCTCAAAAACAAATTCCACATGCAGTGACAAGAAGAGACGGAGGAACTGATGCAGAACACTGCGTGAAGCAACTGTGGCACGAAAACCTACTCATAGGTCATCCTTGCACAAAGTTCATGTCATTGGACTTGGTCACCCCTAGAAAATTGATCTTCAAACTAGTTTCACCTTAGATTTTCTGACCTTGTGGTGTGAGTCGGGCGTTGTGTATGGCATAGTGGAGTTTTTTGTCCAGACGAGTCGCCCTGGAACAAACATATTTCAGTATATTTCATTGAAAATGGTCTGCCCCAAAGGACACAATTTCTGTCACATCAGTTTTTCACCAATTGTGATGTGAGTCGAGTCTTTGGATCTAAATCTGGGTTTGGGGTGGTTGCATTTGGAATGGTGTGGATTTTTGTCCAGAGGTGTCATCCTTGCACAGAGTGAATGTCATTGGACTTGGTCAGCCCTAATGGACAAAAATAGTTTCACCTTGGATTTTCAGATTTTTGGTTGGGGATGAGTCTGGGTGTGGGTTGGAATGGTGTGGCATTTTTGTCCTCAATCCCCCTTCTTCGTTTCCCTCTCTCCTTCTTGTTCTTCTTAGTCAGTCCTTAGTCCCAAAATGTTCGCAGTCTTCTCAAACATCTACCATATTAGATAACTATTTGAGGGAAGAAAAAGGGTGATGATGATCACTTCAAAAACAACAATAACATTTTGGGTCATGTATTCACTCAGGATTTTTTCCTGACCCCCTACCTCCAGGAACATGGAGAAACAACCTTTTTAAGAGTGACATTTTTTCCTGTCCCCTAACCCCCCCTCAGAAACAACTTGTTTTCAATATAAATAAATCCTAGCCCCACCCCTCCAACTTAGAGGCCAAGTCAGGATTTATCTCCTGGGTGGCCTGTGACTATATGCCCTGAAAACGACTTTTTTTGTCAATTTCGACATGTCAAAAAGCGTAGTGCACCCCCAGGATTAATTTGGGCAGTACAAAGGAGGATCTTTAACTAACAGCACATATCCAAACAAAACTGTTTTACCGACTAAGCAATCCGCAGTCGGATTTGGATGTTCAATGCTTTGGAGCTCTGCCTGCCTGCACAAAAAACACGTAAGAACCAAACTCCATGTCTCCAGCACAGAAAAGGATGGCTCGATCTGCATAGGGCCAACGACCCGCTCTGAAGATCGCATAGTATGGAAAAAGTGTCCAATGGAAGAAAACATCGAGCAAATTCCAGCCCAGGAGCAGCACGAAGCACACACTGCAAATGGCACAAGAAATTCCAAATGATATTGATACATCCACCTCCATGAACAAATATTTATCTAGCTCATATCCAGTCATCAAGGTCGCCCCAGCCGCAGCCAGGAGAACTAAAAGGGCCCACACCGACTGCAACATGGACGAACAAACCACGGACATGAACATTCCAAATGTGTTAAGAGCATCCTGAACTTTCTCCCCAAGGGCCAGGTTACTGCACTCTCTCGCAGGGCCCAACGCCTTCCTTCTTGCGCAGCTCATTTCTTTTGCTGCATCCTCATCAATGACGGAGCACATGCGTCCGACGAAAGGGGCGTCACAGGCGCAGGAGCAGTTGCCACTGTGAAACTGACCATTGCTAAAGCAAAAGCCATCTCCAGCACTGCAGTCTTGTTGTTCAAAGAGTCGGTAGTCTCCAAACGGATGACTTCCGAGTAGCGCGAGCATCAAATTCCATGTCGGATATGGCGGTTTCTCCAAGACCGGCAGGGCTGCTTCGCCCTCGCCTGGGATCTAGGCTTGAAGGAAGAACGGACATGCATGTTTCCCATGTTCTGACACTGACACTGAACAGAACCTACAACATATATATATATATATTGCTACTATAGTAAAACAATCCATAACAATCCTAGTTGCCGGCAATCCACATGTATGGCCGCTGCTGTTTGTGAACGCTGGATGCCACATTGACACCTGTCTCACTCAGCAATGCTTGTAAGTAGATGCGACCCTGGTCTGCATGCCACCTTTGTGACCAGTCAGGGTAACGCCGGCTATGATGGTCAGAAGGGCAGTCAGTCATTTTCAACACAACACATTCCTGCAAATCGCTATTTGAAGAAATCTTGTCACACCAGTCTTTTGGAATGTATGTGAGACAAAGACCAGTGTGTTGATGTTCCAGACTTCCATTGACAAAGCGCCACAAATCTGGCCATATGCAAGATGTCAGTGTGATCTGCTTGGAAAACTCCACACAAAGATCGAGATCCCAACGGTACAGGATGAACCAGGAAGTGTCAAAAGGTGCAATTTTCTTCGGCAAACTTGGCAAGCCAAGGGGATTCCATGCCTTCCATGCCACAGCCGCTGCAAACAGTACAGTCAGAAGGATGATAAACGGAAGGCAGAATGCCATGGCCGCAAAGCACACCATGGTCTCAGAAGGCAACTTTTGTTAGACTCGATGTAAATGAGAAGCTGCAATGGCAAGAGCTGGGCGAGTTCAAAATTGTCCAGGTGGTAAATCAGTGTAACTCTGCTCGAACTGCTAGGGACTATTCTCGAGTCGCACAAGTTGGGAATCCCTTGTTCCTTAAAAGCCGGGTGAAGCAACAGTTGGTATTCCTATGTATTCCCCATCTGGGGAGTTCCATGTTTCTTGTCCCGGAATAGCGAATTCCATCCTGCGACCAATCCAGCCCCATACATACCTTCTTTGTGCCTCCGGTGCCACTACCCACCACCCCAAGACGGCGGCCCAGCAGAAAGCCACTCATCACAACTCTCTTTCATCATGCGCAGCAGAACTACCAAACCACCCTATCCCCCCTTCAGAACTCTTGCTTCAAGTCCTGCGTGATGCTTCCCATCGAGGTTTCTCTAGGGGTTTGCCAAGGTCGCCTTTGGGATTTGTATCCTTCATGGTTCTTCCTGCCACGCTCCAGAGTCAAGGGACAGGTATGGACGCCGCAGTCGATTGACATGCAGCATGAAAAAAACAAATGCCTTTGGCATCCTCGTAGCTCACTCTCCATCAAATGGCTCTTGTTTGGCTATACTGTTGGTGACTTCCGTCTTGCATGCTACAAGTAGGGAGACTGAAGGGTTGCTCATGTCCTGGGGTTGTTAACTTCCAAGCTGGTTGTTTGCTTCTCGCCTTCTGGCTGGTTCCCGTCCGTTGATGGTTGCTTGATGCGGAATTACTTCCAGCTCCTTTTGGCAGGTTTGGCGTAAATGTCCCGCAACTTTTTCACCAAGCACTAAACTATGTTCTATGCAGTGAGAGTGCAACTGAACCGCGCACAACCATATCCCACAAAATGGCAACAAAGATGAGGGAACAGTGCTATTCTGAAGCAACTAGTTACTACAAAAGCTTTCCTGAAATTCATTGCTCTCTTAAGGACTTGAACATAGTGGCATTCTCATGTCATTTATGATGATTTGTTCCGTTAGTTCGTGGGGCCGGATTTGCGACGCAAGTGGAGAACCAACATATATATTCGAAAGCAGGCCATAGCAAAAGTGACATCGACACCAATGGTCTCAGAAACTGATCGTTGCCTCGCGCGAGATCTCTCGGGTCATCTCTCCACCATCCACCTTTTGCCCAAGCTGCGCATGCACATCTGCTCGCCGGGACAAGAGCAGCTGCCTTGTCTGACCAGGCGTTTGGGGGAGCAACTGCAACAGTCGGTCACAGCGAGACACAACTGGCGCTTGCTTTTCGCCCTTGGATGTAGGTCGACAGCCTGTTGTATAGACCCCCGAACTGGGGCGGCCATAGCAGTTTGACCCACAGCAATGTCAAAACAGGTCACTTTCCTAGCAAAACCCTGATTTGCTCTAAGTAATTCTGTGACCGGTGGATTCCAGGACTGGAGCTGGTCATTGGATTGGTGAACGTGGCAAGTGGACACTGTGCGAACACTTCTGAGAACGGACATGTAGAAGACTTTCGAAGATCTACTAATACCCTTAAACATATGCAGTTGGAAACTAGAGGACTGTGAGGTGGTCAAGGAAAGTCGCCCCCCAACCACTTGTGGTATATCTATATATGTATACCTTGTGGTATAACATCTATGTTTGTTTGACAAACGGTAGGCACGATGGCCCAACACTCACCAAGTCTAGTCTAGCCAAAAGGCTGCAAAGATAGGACGAGCAACAGTTGAAATTACCTGTGCACAGTTTCACCAGCACCGGTGGTTTACAGTTTACAGCAGCGTTGAAAAGTCATCACCCGAGAATGACACCTGCGTGGAAAGCCCCCTGAAACCATTCCTGAAACCATGCCTTCCACCTCCATCTTTGTCCGATCTTCCGGCTTCCATGAACCAAATGATCCACCTCTACCACTACCTCTACCACTTCTCCGCAAAGTAATTCACTGCCCAAGGGGTCCCAACATATCCATCTGCTGCTCAGTCACGCCACTGCCAAATGCCCATTCTCCGCCGCCCGGTGCAATGGCGTGAAGCGCGGCACGGCGCGCTTCGCGCCGCCGAGATCCGCACGCCTGGGCAGAGGCAGGTGTCTGTCGAACACATGCGGTTTGCTGCCCCAAAGAGTAACGAGTGGGTGTTTCAGCGAATGTCGGGCATGAAACGACTTTTGCGAGGTGTCCTCAATTAGATTGTGCAGTCAGGCCTGAGTTGTGTGACCCCTCACCTGCCCACCTTTTTCTTTCGCCTTTCATGCCATCTCTCCGACCAAAGCCCGGGAGCTCTGTGCTCTCCGGTGGCCAAAACCCCTTGGTCCCACCGACCCAACGGACGCACCGCGCCAACGGACGGGAGTCCTGTCGTCCTGTGGGCGAGGTACTGATCCAAGAGGAGTTCCACCAAAGAGGTGAAGCCATACCTCATCAATTCATCAATTGAACCTCCCAACTACCCATAATCAGTCTTGTGGACTTCATCCCCTAGGTTGGATTTTGTGGATTTTCATGGTCTAAACCTCATCAATTGAACCTCCCGCCTTCTACTGCCCATAGATGCCCATAGTCTTGTGGACGATCATCATCCCCTAAGTTTGGGATGTCAAATGTTTATAGTCTAAAACCAGGGGAACCACCCGCCATTTTTTCATCCACGTAACTATCAGGATGTTGGAGGGAGGATTTACTATGACTTACTCGCTCCACTCCACTCAATGGACGCGAAGCGTCGGAGTGTAGGAGGGATGGGCAGCGAAACGAGCTTTCAGCCAGGACGTTATTTTCTTTTTTGAAACGAGGACTGTGGGAAGAGGTGGGGAGGAAAGAAAAACAGATCTGGGCTGGGCGTTAAAATGCTGGTGACTTGGGGTTCAGCACCAGTCTTGAACAATGTTCAGTTCCCATGTGTTCAATTCCAGGTGAATCTCTGGATCATTGTGAATCATTGAGACAAACCCACATGTTTTTAGCGTCTTCCACACACCTGGCTGAACATGGCCGGATCTGCTAAGCTCAACGCGGAACCTGGAGACCAAAAAGAAATAAATGGCAAGGAACATTGAACATCAAACATCATTATCCAGCTCTATGTGATTGGTGAATCGCTCCCAAGGGAGTCTTGAGCGCGGCCTGCCGGATGCCTTTTGGAACTGGCGACTGAAACCACTCGCCGCTCGCATAGGTGTTTTGCTCAAAGAACATCGATCAACGAACCACATATCACGTACAGCCTAGAGAGGATCCAAACAAAGAAACAACACCTGGCCGTTTGCCATAGTTCAAGAACAAGACGTTTTGCCACAAGCTGCTTCGCAAATGGAGTCCTGCCAAAAAGCAGCGGCTCCTCAAGAGGCCTCAACGAGTTAGATTGCTGACTGAGGGTGGCAACGAAAGTTCCCGGAAACAACTCCCAGTGACTCTCGCTGGCTGATTTCTCCGAGTGGCTCCGAGGCATGCGCCAACCAGCGGTCCAACTGGGCAGGCTTCAGCCGTTTCTTCTTCTCCTTGATTTTGGCCGTTTCTCCAATCGCCCGACATTTGTGGATGGGATCCACTGGTCCCTCCACAGCAGTGGTTGAAGTGCATATTTTTTTGGGATTGGGATTGATTTACACTATAAGTCTATAAGTGTTTCCATGGTGAATCTCCAGCAGGTCACCTCTTCACAACTCGCAGCGCAGCCGCCCGTCCTTCAAGAGATCTTTCACCCGGGCACTTTGTCCCCGGTGCATCGCGCGCTCCTGGCGACACATCGACACATCGAACAAGTTCAAGTATATATTAAATATATATGTCAAAAGAAGGGGAGGGGAGCATTCGTCATTGACTCCTTTGTCATGACCAATGTCGTGTTACAGGAGTTATTTTCATGTTTTTGTCCAGGAGCATTTTGGTTTCTGCTCCAGGAGTATCGCTCCAGGAGTTCTTGGTCATTTGTCATTTGCACCGCTCAGCAAGATGTCGTTCTTTCTCCTTTGGTCCAGGTGTCTTTGCTCGATGGGAGAGCATCGAATCTATGGTAGGAAGTCCGGAAGTCAATGGAACTTGTATCATCCACTAAGCTTAAGCGTGAGCTGAACTCGTTTGTGAAAACGAGCTCGTTGGTGCTCTCATGACAGAGCACCGGGAGCATCCGAGAACTTCCATATTGGAACGACCCCTTTAGTTTCTGGTTGGGACTGGGTTTCCAGAGGTGCAGGTGCCTGCAGCTTCCTACACAGGTCTGTGAACCTGAAGCCGGAACTTCCCTGGAAGCCGGCATGCTCAAGACTTCCAATTGTAGAATAGTGTATACAGTTCCCATGTCAAGACCACCAAAAAAGGGTGGTCACTGACCACCACGTCCAAAAAATGAGCGGACAACTCCAGCATTGGGCCATGGGAGAATGGTGGGCAATATCAGGACCCCATTGACTTGGATCCTCCCATTCTCAACCTACCAATCGTTGTATGCCGTTAGCACATTTTGGGGGGGACACAAGGGGCCCAAGTGTCCGGATGTGTCCATTTCCAACTCCGCACCCCACCCAGCCATACCTTATTCTTACAAGTACCACCCACCCCAACCAACTGCTCCGCCCATCCTCCCCAGCTCCAGCGGCGTCCAGTCTGCTGGCTGCCGGCCCTGCGCTCCAATGCCCAGCACGAAGTCGGCCAAGTTGCAGGTGGCGTGGAGCCTCGCCGGGGCGGGCTCAGGGCGGCCACGGGGTGGAGTCTTGTTGGGAGATGTGTATATGGATGAGACAGCAGCCACGTTCAGGGTCAGATGGCTAAAAAAGAATAAATGCTGGATTTCTGCATAAGCAGTGCAATGAATGTTCTGCCAGGTGGTAGGCCGTAAGCTCGGTAAGCTCATGTGGCCGTTTGGGAACTTGACTGCAAGATTTAGCAATTTCAGTAGATTTCAACAGAAAGCAGGCTCAGAACAAATGTTCCCGTCACTGCCAGTCAAACACATTGCAGTGTTGATCAACAGCTGGGGACCCTCCACA